TGTATATATATATGTATAAGTATGTATATGTATGTATGTATATATATGTATATGTATGTATGTATATATATGTATATGTATGTATGTATATATATGTATATGTATATATATATGTATATGTGTATATGTATATATATATGTATATGTATATATATATATATGTATATGTATATATATGTATATGTGTATGTATATGTATACGTGTATATGTATATATACAGGTCCTTCTAAAAAAATTAGCATATTGTGATAAAGGTCATTTGTTTCCATAATGCAATGATAAAAATGAAACTTTCATATATTTCAGATTCATTGCACACCAACTGAAATATTTCAGGTCTTTAATTGTTTTAATACTGATGATTATGGCATACAGCTCATGAAAACCCAAAATGCCTGTCCCAAAAAATGAGCATATTTCATCCCACCAATGAAAGACAAGTGTTTTTAATACAAAAAACGCCAACCTTCAAATAATCATGTTCAGTTATGCACTCAATACTTGGTCGGGAATCCTTTTGCATGAATGACTGCTTCAATGCGGCGTGGCATGGAGGCAATCAGCCTGTGGCACTGCTGAGGTGTTATGGAGGTCCAGGATGCTTCGATAGCGGCCTTAAGCTCATCCAGAGTGTTGGGTCTTGTGTCTCTCAACTTTCTCTTCACAATATCCCACAGGTTCTCTATGGGGTTCAGGTCAGGAGAGTTGGCAGACCAATTGAGCACAGTAATACCATGGTCAGTAAACCATTGACCAGTGGTTTTGGCACTGTGAGCAGGTGCCAGGTCGTGATGAAAAATGAAATCTTCATCTCAATAAAGCTTTTCAGCAGATGGAAGCATGAAGTGCTCCAAAATCTCCTGATAGCTAGCTGCATTGACCCTGCGCTTGATAAAACACAGTGGACCAACACCAGCAGCTGACATGACACCCCAGTTACTGTGGAAACTTGACACTGGACCTCAAGCAATATGAATTCTGTGTCTCCTCTCTTCCTCCAGACTCTGGGACCTTGATTTCCAAAGGAAATGCAAAATTTACTGTAATCAGAGAACATAACTTTGGACCACTCAGCAGCAGTCTCAGGCGAGATGCTTCTGACGCAGTCTCTTGTTCAAGAGTGGCTTGACCTGGGGAATGTGGCACCTGTAGCCCATTTCCTGCACACGCCTGTGCACGGTGGCTCTGGATGTTTCTACTCCAGACTCAGTCCACTGCTTCCGCAGGTCCCCCAAGGTCTGGAATCGGCCCTTCTCCACAATCCTCCTCAGGGTCCGGTCACCTCTTCTCGTTGTGCAGCGTTTTCTGCCACACTTTTCCCTTCCCACAGACTTCCCACTGAGGTGCCTTGATACAGCACTCTGGGAACAGACTATTCATTCAGCAATTTCTTTCTGTGTCTTACCCTCTTGCTTGAGGGTGTCAATGATGGCCTTCTGGACAGCAGTCAGGTCGGCAGTCTTACCCATGATTGCGGTTTTGAGTAATAAACAAGGCTGGGAGTTTTTAAAAGCCTCAGGAATCTTTTGCAGGTGTTTAGAGTTACGTCGTTGATTCAGATGGTTAGGTTAATAGCTTGTTTAGAGAACCTTTTCATGATATGCTAATTTTTTGGGACAGGCATTTTGGGTTTTCATGAGCTGTATGCCATAATCATCAGTATTAAAACAGTTAAAGACCTGAAATATTTCAGTTGGTGTGCAATGAATCTGAAATATATAAAAGTTTCATTTTTATAATAATAATAATAATAATGTCATCACAATGTCAGCACTGTATGTTACCATACAATGGCGAAATTAGTCTCTGCATTTAACCCATCCACCACCAGGTGGTGCAGTGGGCAGCTATTGAAAGCACCTGGGGGACATCATTACATTATGGAAAATAATGACCTTTATCACAATATGCTATTTTTTTTAGAAGTACCTGTATATGTATATATATGTGTATATGTATATTCAATTCAATTCAAAAATACTTTATTAATCCCAGAGGGAAATTAAATGTTGTAGCTCATTTTCCTTGTTTCATAAAAGAGTTGTTCTAGATGTTGATGGTTGTGGGCGGGAAGGATCTCTTGTGATGGTCCGTCTTATAGCAGATCTGAAAAAACTGGCCACAGATGTTGATCCGTTTACTTGCACTTGGTTGGCCTCCTGGGCTTCAGGACCACCTGAATGTTGTGCAGAAATCCTCCCAGTGCGATGGCCACTCCTCCCAGCAGCTTGTTGAGCTCCTCGTCACTGCGGACAGCCAACTGTAGGTGCTGATGGACGATCCTGTCCTTCTGCTGTCATGAGCCACGTTTCCTGCTAGTTCCAGGATCTCAGTGGTCAGGCACTCGAGCACAACTGGCAGGTAGATGAAAGAGCGTCCACAGAACATCCTTTTCAACTCATTTGAAATTTAGGGCCATAGTTGAGATATTATTTGAGCTTTTGAGATGTTAATCAGCTGCTGCTGGTTGTAGACACTGCCTTGTTGCCATGGTTACGCATCATAACAAATGTCCAAAACTAAAAAAGTTTCAGTAAAAATCCTTCCAGCTGCACAGCATCTGATACCAGAGGAAACAATCATCCAAAAAACACGACCCACATCCAGAAAAAGAGGAATTAAAGTTTCCAAAAGCAAAATCTCAGAATTAAAGTAACAGAGCTGCTCCAACATGCAGCCACCTTGAGCGGCGCAATTCTAGAACCTAAATATGTATATATATGTATATATATATATATATATATGTGTGTATATATATATATGTGTGTATATATATATGTATATATATATGTATATGTGTATATATATATGTATATGTGTATATATGTATGTATATGTATATATGTATATGTGTATATATGTATGTATATGTATATATGTATATGTGTATATATGTATGTATATGTATGTATATGTATATATGTATATGTGTATATATGTATGTATATGTATATATGTATATGTGTATATATGTGTATATATGTATATGTATATACAGTATGTATGTATATGTATATATGTATGTGTATATGTATATGTATATACAGTATGTATGTATATGTATATATGTATGTGTATATATATTTGTATATGTATATTCAACCTTTATTGATACAGGTTAGTTCCATTGAGCCACAAGGACTCATTTACAAGAGAGACCTGGATTTGAACAAAGAGTGATGACAACAGTGGATAACAAACTGTTTTTAATTGTAAAACAAACAAACAATAAAAAAACTTAAAATTGTCTGAATCATTTTTGAATTGTTGTTGTTGTTGTTGTTGTTGTTGTTGTTGTTGTTGTTGTTGTTGTTGTTGTTGTCGTTGTTATCAGTGTCTTATCATGTTGTGCTCTGGTCCAGTGTCTTCATGGACGATGTGTGTGAGGGTGGACATGTTTGGAGGTTGCTGTGTTGAAGCTCCATGGATCAGCCTCTCTGCAGCTCTCAGCTCCTTCACTGAGCCTTGAGGGAATCACTGAGCTGCTCTTGTTCTTCACAGTTAGAAGGTGGGAGCTCTCGTCAAATCATGATCTCCAGCATCATCTTGTTCATGCCAGGCTTTTCATCCACTGACCACACACACCTGGAAACATCAGGGGGACCAGTAGCTGTTTAACACATCTGGAAGGAAACCAGTGAGGTTTTAATGTGACCAGTATGATATGATGTTATGTGGGGGAGTGGTGGAGCAGAGGTTAGAAGATGGGCCTGTGATCAGGAAGTCGCAGGTTCAACTCCCGGTACCGTCAACATCAAAATGAGGTGGAAAAGGTGAAACACCCACACCTGCCTCCACCCTCATTGGCCCCACCCTGGTCCCCTGAGCAAGGCACTCAACCCCCACCATCTGCTCCTAAACAGGTCTCTCTAGAAAATGAGTTCTCGTGACTCAATGAGTCGACCTGGATAAATAAAGGTAAATGAAAAATAAAAGTTTAAAATAGAAATACTCAGAACTTAAACAAAACTCCAATTATGATGCATATCTGTTGATAATGAACCAAAGCTGCTGAAATAGTGAGTATGCTTGTTAGAAAAATATTCCTGTCATCAGATCTCAGTCAGCTTCATTGCAGCTGAACACCGTGTTACACTGAACATCACATCAGCTGGTGGACATAAATACAGTACAGTAATATTATATTCACAAAATACTAACAATAATATGTTCATCTTACTTGTGAAAAGTTATCCCCCGAGACCTGACGTCATCAGTCCGTCGATTAGAACAGAAATAAGCTGCGAAGTGCTGAGACATCTTCTGCTTTAACCAAATAAGGACGACCGCTCCAAGATGGCGGCCGAAAATCCTACGCCGCAGCAGCCAATGAGGCATCTAGTGTTTATATCTATGGATACAGGTACTACTGGAGGACACGCCCACTCCTGATGACATTCCTCTAGGACGCGCCCACTCATGACGTCACGGCCGGACTAGGATTTGGGAGAGCCGGAAAAGCTGTGTTGAGATCCGAAGGAGAAACTGCGGATTCCCGGATCGTTTCTGCGTCAGAGCGACGGTGGGACTGAACCGACACCACCTGTGTGGATTCAGTAAGGGAGCCGAGTTATCTGTGTAGGAGACGGTGAGTGAACAACACCTGAAGAAAACGCACGCGCCCGGTGGTTGATCGTTCCAGAAGTTAGCTTTAGCCCGCTAAGCTAACAGACTACTGGATCAGGGACCACCAGAACCAGGTTGAGACAGGGAACACCAGAACCAGGTTGAGACAGGGAACACCAGAACCAGGTTGAGACAGGGAACACCAGAACCAGGTTGAGACAGGGAACACCAGAAGCAGTCTGGTTCTCAGCCGCTTTCCATCTAATTATGGCCACTTTACCTGTGAATGAGTGGAGGGGACATGGAAGAAGAGAAAAGCAGGACACGAAGACATTTAGTTGACCTGATGGTTGAAACAGGTGGAAACAACACCTGACCTTTTTCCACAGAAGCCAACACCGAAATGTTTTGGTGTAAAATAAGACATGTTTGAAATATTATAACTAGTGATCAAATGGTTTTTGTCCTTCATAATGACAGAAGTTCTGCTTGTCATACCTGGACTAATGGGGTGGGGTTCTGCTGTGGGTCCCGTCACGTTCCAGCTGCTTCCTGTTCTGAACACACTGACCAAACTGGGCTGAGCCCAAGGTTGGGATTGAAGCAGGATTATGTTCTACAATCCTGAACTCAACCATAAACCTATTGAATCACAGCATGGAGTACACACACACTGACACACACACACACACACACACACACCAAGACACACACACACACACACCAAGACACACACACACACACTGACACACACCAAGACACACACA